GTCAGGTTGGTGTTGGCTGACATGTTTCCTCATGTCCATTCTGCTAGGACAACACAGTCTCACCATTTTTAAAAACCAGATCCTTTAGATTCACTGCTAGAAACTAAATGGTGCTGGCAGTGAATGGAGCTGACCAAACCACAGGGATAAAATAAACAAGGACAGGATGCACTGATGAGACATCTAGATGTTGAACCAAGGGGAGAAGTCATTTTGTTTTGGAAAAACAACAACACCAGAGCATCAGATTTCCCTTTTCTTACTATTAATTTTCTTTTTTCTTTTTTTTTTGGCTTGAGAAAATTGGCAAACATGTAAGATTGAGAAACCTTGAGAAAAACAGGTTTCCTTCCTGGAAAGCAAGCACAGCTAAAGATTCACAGAAGGCATGCAACCTCACTGTTTTTTGTTGTTTTGGTTTTTCCCAGCCTGCCTCGTTTCTCCTCTCCTCCTCACAAATCTATCGGGGCTCTGTTGGGTCAAGTCCTCATGTGAAAACAAAGCAGCAGGTGGGGTTATAGTAAGATGTGTTTGTGATTGTGTGTGCAAGCTGCAAGTGGGTGATTCACACACAGTCCAAACCCAGTAAACAGGAAGGCTGGTTGTCAGTCCATGAAAAATAAACAGACTGCCAGTTCCCCAGAACAATAAATAGCAGAAGGAATGCATAAATTACACAAAGTGAGAAACAAACAGTGGTGCAATATGTTAACGCCAGATGATTAAGTAATAAAAAGAATGAGGAATAAGGAAGCGAGCTGTTTGATCACCTGCTGAAGTCTGCATTGGAACTAATGTAAGTTCTGTATCTTTTGAACACACACAGAGTATTTCATTGCAGTTTTTTTCCTTTTGAAAACAGTACTTCATGGTTTATGGAAAATCCATAAATTATGGCCACAAATCATAACCCTGATTTGAGAATGGGCTTTGCAATAGATCGTCAACATTTCAGTGTCAAGAGTTCCAAAATCTCCGTCTTAATGAAATGACATTGATGACAAGCAAGGAATCATCTGTCATTTTCCTCCAGTTACTATATTTGGTGTTCTTCTTTACCAGTCCGTACATACACTCTGTGACAGTAAGTCACATGCTGCACGGTTCCCAGGAAAATGGGGCTTAACAAAGTCGGCGAGTAAACTACTACAACAGAACATGTGGAAATGAAAACGTGAATCATACGTGTGTCACTGTGTCATGTTTACAGTAAAGCATCCATCAGCTGCAGAGCTGCAACACATACAAACCATGTTGTGACATACCTGTAGACACCTTAGATTTTTTTTTCCTTTTGTTCAAAGAGTCACATCAGAGTTTAGATGTGATGTAAACGTCCACATTAATCTTTAGAAAAAATTAAACACACTCAAGAAGCCAACAAACGTAAGTGCAGCAAACACCAGCTCAGCAATGCTGGAATCCACAACTATGGCTGAAAGAGGGAAACAAACTGAGATGAGTCATATCCTTTAACAAAAGCCTGGCTTTTGTTATGAAAACGACACCTCTATCACATGTTTTGCGTTCAGGGTCCTGGTATTAGCATAGCTGCTACTACATAATACTTGTACCAGACTTTTTAACACAGCGTGTTAGACCACTATGGTAAGAGTGACTAAATGTGTTCACTGACCACAGGACTGCAGAAGCGTTTAGAAGCCCAGCGTGTACCACTACAGGACCAGGCCTGACTTTAAACAGTGCTGCCTGAGGTCTCAAAAATCTCAGACATTCATTATTTTCCTTTCCTCCTCCAGATTATCTTAACCTTTGAAGAAATGTTATGGTCATATTTCTGTGTGTCTGAGTTCAAGTGAAAAATGCGTATGCTGTCCCAAGAGACCTTGAGAAGAGTAAATTACGTTCATGTGTTCACATAACTGACTAATCGGTTCAATACAGAGCCTCACAGTGAATACATTACATGGAGTTAATACTGCTTTTTGTAGCTGATCTACCATCTTTTGCAGTATTTTTAAGCACCAAGTGCACGAACCCTATTAGTGTTCTACCTCAGAGCAGTCTGAGGTCCCTGCATGTCTGAGCATGTGTGCTGAGACATAAAGGAACTGAGTGGACTACTGAAGCTTACTGTTCACACTTAAAACCACAAGAAGCTCCCACCCTCCCAGCCTAACATATAGCTGTACAACACTCATTTTCATAGGTGTCTTTTTAGCAGTGCCACATGACTCACCATTATGTGTTCGGTTACTATTTCCCAACAAGTCACAATTCTCTGGTGCTCAGAGACACTCAAAAACAAACACTACTCAGGTTGGTGTCTGTTTCCTTTCTGTTTCCCCTCATTATCATCCTGTTGATAATGGGGGGAAAAAAAATCCCACACACAGTCCCAGACCTTGACCCTAGGTGGGGGGTTCAGCTGAGGTAGCGCCATCAAAATATCACCTGGCTTCACATACAAAACTCCTTCAACATTTTTCACCAACTTACTGTGTATGACAGTGGTATCCAGCATCATTACCTACCAACCTACAGCAACTGAGCAGTGGGAGGCAATATTTGGAAAAGTCAGGGAAATCACAAATCAGTGGTGCATCACTGGCATGCAGTGTTTTCCACACACAGACTGAAGAGCCCACTCAAACGCACTAACAGCTGCAAAGGATATCTGGTGACTCGTTTTAGCATCTTATTTTCAAAGCTTAATAGCTGCCAACACCTTCCAGTCTCTTTATCCCTGACAGACATAAGCTTAGCATCTCCACAGCTTCCACTTCCGAATGACTATTGGGCAACTCCAGAAGTATGTTTACTCATTCACAAAAATATTAAGGTTTTTTCCCAATTTGTTATGAAGAAGACAATTCCACTCATTCCTTGTAATCACTGGCTATTTTATGAAAAGGAAGGAAACTTGTGCACAGAATGGCTCTCAGTACTTTAAGTAGTAGACCAAGTTGGCCAAAAAAGAAAAAAAAACCAAAACTGTCCACATGCCATTCCTGAGCACTTCTCCTCCGTCTGATGGGATTTCCTGTAGGTCATGGGCTACGCTGGCAGCCATGTAGTTACTTCCACTTAGAATGGCTAAGTTTAGCTTTTAAAAGTGTGCGAGTGCACTCCTCTTTACATTAGCAGGGTGTGTCCCCTCACCACAGGGCACAGATTTATTCCATGGAAACCTGTCCCACAGCACAGAGATCACCAACTTGCACAAACACACATTTGAACTGAGAAGAGAGCTCTCTGCAGCCAGACTGTGTAAACACACACACACACACACAAACACACCACAGTCTGCTGTCAAAGTATTTGCAGTGCACCACTCACACCCAGTATGCTTAACCAAATTCAACAGCACCTCAATAAAAGTGCTGATGGCGCAACACCTGACTTAAATCACAGCTCAGGCTCAAAGTATCCTCTACACATAGACCCGGTTAGCTCCAGATGTGAACTTTGTGTGCTTTCAGTTCTGATGGAGAACAAGTCCATGAGTCACTCACCTGTCTAAATAAGAACAGGATTCGTTTGTGTTGTGGATACAGTGCTGCTGTGTACCCAAAAAAGTCGAGTGGTTCAGTTGGCTCCATTGCATGTTACAACTGTAGGATAGTGAGTGTGTGAAATTTCACAGGTAACAGACTTTCTGCAGCCCATAAGTCTGTCTTTTTATTGTTGAGCCAACAGCTGATCAAAGTAGCTGCTAGCCAAATGGTGACATTCACATCTCACTGAAATTCTCTGAAAGTGTATGTTGCAGATTTCTTCTATGCTCCTACTGGCTGACCCATCAGTGCACACACAGAGCCCCGCTGTGCTGTCTGACGCACAACACGCTGATAAATGCTTGTTAAGACATAAACTGTTTTCAGCTTTCAGTTTTATTTGTCATATGCAAGTTAGCACAGGGTCAACATTCTGTTAAGTCCAGAATTGAATTCAAAATCCTGCTCCTCACATACAAGGTCTTAAATAATCAGGCCCCATCTTATCTTAATGACCTTGTAGTACCATATCACCCTATTAGAGCACTTCGCTCTCGCTCTGCAGGCCTACTTGTTGTTCCTAGAGTATTTAAAAGTAGAATGAAACAAGGTTAATGAACAGTGTACTCTCGCAGTATTTTTTTTCTGCAGGAAGCAAGCTGTTAGTTGGGAAATATTTTGTCATTACTGGGTAATTCCCAGAGCTACAACCATTTCTGTGATGTAAAAGAAATGGTACACTGTTAGATCACATAATTGTTTACAGGTCAATGCAGAGGAGTCTGTGTGTGTCTACATACTGTATTGGCCATAAAGTTACAAAATTATAGCAAAATATTACTATTCAATTTCTAATTTCAATTTTTTCTCCATGAACATGATTCTGATTTTTTTCCTGTTCAAAACTAAAACCACTTCTTCTGAATCCAGCACTAGGAGGGCAAGACCAAATAAAAAGCAACACTTGTAGCCCTGAGAGCCTTTCACATTCCTTTTGAATGGAAAGAGAGTAAAGACAAACAACAGAAACTTAAAGAGCAGCACCTGTGACCGAGTTTTGTTCTCGCTAAAAGTCCCCCGATACCGGGGACCGATACCACGGTCTGAAAAATGTCTATGTTTGAGCGGTATGTAAGGGGTTAATCACAGGTGCCGAGTGGCCGTCCCAGGCCCCGGCTGCAGCTCAGAGCGGGGAGAAGGCGAGACGAGACATGTCAGCCGTGTGGAACTATTTCAAAGTGAATGCGTCTCCTCCATGTTCTGGAGCCCAGATATGATGTCCCAAGCCGCCGCTACATAACTGACACGGAGCTGCCTAAACTACACGACTCCGTGAAAAAACACATCCACAGCCTATTGCAAGCCTCCTCTGCGATTAGTTTCACCGCGGATATTTGGACAAGCAGTGTTAGCCCCGTGTCGCTAATTAGTCTGACCTCCCAGTGGATAGACGAGAGTTTCACGCCACAACGAGCCATATTCCGTGGCTCGCACACCAGCCAGGCTATAGCGCATGTGTTTGAGGAAATGCTCCAGACATGGGGTATACCTAAAACATCAGTACATGTTGTGCTTTGTGACAATGCCAAAAACATGATTAAAGCCATGAATGACGCAGGGCTCCCAAGTCTGCCATGTGTCGCGCACACGCTCCAACTGGCTGTTCACGAGGGCTTATTAGCACAGAGGAGCATAGCTGATGCTTTAGCAGTGCGGCGGAAAATAGTTGGGCATTTTAAACATTCCGCCTTAGCCTACTCCCGCCTCGAGGACGTTCAGGGACAGCTCAACCAGCCAATAAAGAGACCGCAGCAGCACGTATTACATGCGCCAGTCCCTCATAGAGCAAAAGCGAGTGCTGGGCGTGTATGTGTCCGAGCACGAACTCCCTGACTATCTCGCCGCTCACCAATGGGCTCTTATGGAGACGCCTGTTGCCATCCTCGCCCCCTTTGAGGAACCAACTAAAAAAGTGAGCAGCTACGACGCACTAGCCTCTGATGTCGTCCCAGCTGTGACTGTGCTAGTGAGACTTCTAAACAGAGAAACAGACGAGGACCACGGCGTCAAGACAATGAAAGCAACCTTACTGGCAGCTGTCAAGAAGCGCTTCAGTGACGTCGAGACCAACCCACTGTACTTCATCTCCACCATACTTGACCCAAGGTAAAGTCTGTGTGCTCTAGGTATTCAATGATAAACTACAGCACTAAATGTAAGATTAATTTCCATCTGAAATATTATATTTTTGTAACTAAAATACACAAATACAAATGTATGCAATATATATAATATGAAATATATTTCCCTTATTACTACCAGAAAGTCAAATGGCTGGCATCTGTGACAGTGGTTTAGGGGAAACTAAAATCAGTCCTATTTTTCCACATATTAATACATTCATGAATTTTGTGCAGGTATAAAGATCGCTTCTTCTCCAACAACACTGCTCCAGAGGCCAAGCTGCAGATGATGTCCAGAGCTGAGGCAGAGGGGAGTCGGGCAGAAACTGCAGAACCTCCTGCTAAAGTGTTCCTCAAGGCCCAGGCCAGCACTAGCAGCAGTCTGGACACTGTATTTGACTAAATCGCTAAGGAGCAGCCCCAGGCAGCACAGCCGCTGGCAGCAGGTGCTGCCATTGAGCTCGACACGTACCTCGGAGAGGCCCCGAGCCCTCGTGAAGACAGTCCTCTGAAGTACTGGGGTGTCAACAAAATCAGGTTCCCCACTTTGGCTAAAATGGCCCATAAATACCTCTCAGCCCCATGTAGCAGTGTGGAAAGTGAAAGGCTTTTTAGCTCAGTGTCACACGTTATAGATGAAAACAGAAACAGGCTGGCTGCTGATCATGCAGAAAAGCTACTTTTCTTAAAAAAAACTGCCATTCACTTTTTCTAAATAGGCTCCATTAAGCGAGTCGTCTTAGACTTGATGTTAATACCTACCTCAGCTGCACTGACTGCCACAGTTCTATGTTGGTGGATGTTGTTAGTGTATTCAAATATTGTGCACTAAATAGCAAAGACGTTTATTAATGCCCCTTTTGTTGTCCAAAGCAGCAGAGTTTACAACAAACTGAAAAAAATCCTTGAGTTGCGCTGTCACTGTTTAAATTTTTTTAGAATTATTTATTCTGTAATATGTTGCATACAACATGCTTCTCGTTTTAAATAAATGTTCTTAATTCCAAACTAGTCCCTTGTTTTCTTTTTGTTAATTATATGACTAAAGCTGTTACCTGTAAATTTAAATCATGTTTTTATTAAGTACTCTGTATCGGCGAGTACTGAAATACTCGTTTTCCAAAAAAGTGGTATCGGTGCATCCCTGCTTCCAGCACTGGAGGGCTTAGCAAGCTTTTTGTGGACACCCTTGTGGGGTATCTGTGGCCCGTCCAGTCTACCAAACAAAGTGTTCTTTGGCAACTGAAACTAAAGTCACACTACGAGTCATACTACGAGGTATCCATTGGATGTCAGTGTGTGTGATAGTTACAGGCACAGAAAAAAAGTGCTATATGAATGTGTATGCGATTGGAGGGGGATTAGTAAAAAGTAGAGATGGACTGATCCGATATTACATATCGTTCCAATACTGACCTAAATTACTGGATTGGATATCAGAGAGAAATAAATGTAATATAAAATATCACAAAAGCCCCTCACAAAACTTGCAACACAGCGTAACCCAGCTCATAACCTTAGCACGTCGGAGCAGCATGCGTCACGTGATAGAGCGGCTGTAGTGTGCGAGAACTGTCGGCGGTCTGGTTGAGCATTTGGAGCCTCGCTACGTGCTTAAAAATCAGCATTTCATCTCGGAGAAAGCTATCCCAGAGAAGTAAAGCAAGTGTGTAAGTTTACCTCTGAATGTTTGTAAAGCATTCCCACGTTAAGCTTAACAACCGATATATGGAGCGACTGCCTCTCATTCTCTCCCTCTGGTGTTGCTACTTCAATCATGAAACTGATCAATGATCATCTGATCGGCTTTTCTACTGCGAGTCCGTCTCTCTTGCTTGTTTATCACCCACTTTGCGCCAGAAAGACAAAATAATAATCAACAGCCGCTGGTTTAGCTTGATAAGCTGTTGTTAGACTGTATTTAATATTACTTTCTACACCAGGATCCTTTTCTACGTAGCTGACAGCTGGTAACTGTGCAGGGGCGGGTCTAGCAAAGTTTTGCCAGGGGGCCAGGTAGGGCATTAACAGGGAGAGGGGGGCACAAAGAAATACTTTTATTTATTATTCTCATGTCTAGTTAAAAAAAAAAAAAAATCTGAATCTTACAACCAAAGTTTTCATCTGATGCAAAATGTATAGAAATCCATTATTGTATATAGTAACTATGAGTCTAATATATACCCTAGTAGGTACCCTAGAACCTACAGTACTTTTTCCTTTGGGAAGGTACCATCCGTGCAGTCTGCAATTCTGTTGAAGAAAGATGTTGAATTTATTTAATTATTGTAGAAATATAATTGATTTCTGTGCATTTGTTTTACACGTGCATTAAAGTCGATTACGTCGATGAAGCATCATGAGGTGGGGGGTGGTTCAAATTTTTTTTTGCTTGACATTGGCAACCCTATTAATTAAGTTGTTTAATATTTCCACTACGTACTTTTTAGAATACCAGAATAGGGAGGATGGTACAGGTTTAAGTTTATTAGATTGATCAGTTTTGCTGAACTATGAAATATTTTGGGTGCAGTGTATTTTTGCATACAGGTATAACAGAATAGCTTTAGTGTTTTGTTTTGTTTTTTAACTTGAGTATAAACTTATACAAAATGCAGCAAGATAAAAAACAAACCGTTTTATTGACTAGAAAACACACTATATCGGATTAATATCGGTATCGGCAGATATCCAAATTTATGATATCGGTATCAGTATCGGTAGCGTGCCATCTCTAGTAAAAACTTCTCTGAAACCTGAGGAGAAAAGTACAATTTACCTTTCATATGAACGCCCGCTGATATGCAAAAATATAATCATTTTGCACGTCAGCTTTTTAGGTTACCATGTGACGAGTAAACAGTTCAGGTTCAACAATACAGGTTCTGTCCCCATTATTTTCAACCAACACACCTTCTCTTATGTATAAGAGTATACATAAGTACACTATGTATATTTTCTATACACTAAACATACCTGACCACTAATTATGCAGCATCTGACATAGTACTGCAGACATCTACAGGTTCCCTGCTGTCCCCTACTGATTGGAAGGTTCGATCCCAGGCTTCTCCAGTCTACATGTCAAGTATCCTTGGGCAAGATACTAACCCCAAGTTTCTGTGAATGTGCATGAATGAAGTTAGGAAGCACTAAGCATAGAAAGAAAGTGCTTGTGTGATTGGGTGAATGTGGCATGTTGTATAGAGCGCTTTGAGTAGTCCAGGAGAGTAAAAGGCGCTATATAAGAATCAGTCCATTTACCTTTTAGCTAAGCACTGGTAAAAATGCAAATTTAAATATTTGGAAGTCCAAGAATTGTTTGAAGGCAGAGCCATTCTGTACAGGTTTCAAAAGCACTGCCACTTGCCTGCCTTGTTTAAAGACCTAAGTTAGCAAAGAGCACTGAAACAGAATCTCGTCTGTTAATGTGACTGCAGACTTGTGCCTTCTTGGAAGTTGAAGGTAAATGCTTGCAGATGAGGCCTAATGTCATCACAGCTTAAATCTGGAAACGGATTGGCATTTATTTAGCTCTTTTTTTAGTGACCACTAAAAGTGCTTTGGAGTGCTATGAGAAAAAATATTCAAAGATATATTCATAGGCTACTTTATTCTGTTCACTTCATCTATCACACATTAACGGATAATTTAGCATTAACCTAACTTGCAGGTCTTTGGACTGTGACAGGAAGCCAGAGAGAACGCACGCAGGACAATGAAGAACACTCAAAGTCTGCATGGCCTCTGCCCTGGTGTCCCAGTTAAAGGAAGAGTTGCTAGTACAACCTTTGCTTAACAGCAGTAACTTGTATTTACCTGGGCTTTTGTTCAGTATGGAAGACATGGGGATGAGGGTCGAGGACAACACTGATAATGGGTAATGTGGATTGTAATAATGACAGAAATAGTTCAGATTTTTTGCCATAATTAAGCAGTCCTATTTCTGGCAGTAAGTACTGTTATAACCAGGTTTTAGCTTCAGTATGACAAGAGTGGGACCAGCAGGACCTATATGAAATGTCAAGTTACCTGTCAACACTATCCAAGTTAAGTCAGAATGACAGTAACACACTGATTGGCGTCTTGTTCTTTATTATGTCACACTCTGGTATGAAAGCACTTCTGAAAGAACTGGTTTCATTCCTCAAAGAGAAACTCCCTTTTCTTGCTTTTCCAGCCTCTGATGAGAAATACTTACCTATATTTACCTAAGTGGAAGGAGAGTGGTTTTCTGTGATGGTGACGCTTCATCAAAGACCACAATCATACCTCTCTCTGCATATTTAAAGAATTAAAATACATATTTTCTATATCTCTTCTCATAACTGTGGTACTCTAACAACAAACTAGGCCGCTCTCTGAATTCCTGCCCTGTGACTCAGGTTTGAGGTACAGCAACTGCTTCGGGTCCTGAGCACTAAGCACATTAGCAGATTTCTGAGGAGATTGGAAAACCAGGATCCTGACCGGTACCAGGAAATACTCCCCCACCCCCCCACACACAAACCTTCTTCAAGGAAAATAAGACAGTCAGGAGAAGGATGATATGATGTTATAGGCTGAGGATGATGAGTACGGTTACACAGCTAGAACTCTTAGACAGCAGTCCAATTACCATGTAAACAATAGACAATATGCCAGCCTGTGAGCTAGAAACATTCAGCAGCCAAAGAGGGGGGGGGGGTGGAGACAACTGAGCCACAAAACACACGAGTGGATCTGTGAGCCGAGCTGAAATAACACTCTGATGCTTCGGGCTACGTGAGTTTGGAGAACAAATTTACATGATCATTCAGAGCTCATTTTGCTGTACTTGTTGTAGCGAACTCCTTCCCAGTAATAACGTAGAGGGACCCATTAACTACTTTATGATAAGTAATCTTACTCGTTATATCCCTGCAACTTGAAACAACGCTGAAAACACGTTATGAACAGACATCAAAATGCATCGATAAATCTATTTAATTAGGAGTGCTGACCGCGGACTGAAGGGAAGCGCTGATAATGGGCTGAAGGCAGGGGCTACTGTAAATACTGCATACTGCACATTTATTTATTTATTTATAAGATTGAAGACTTATCTAAATGACATAGTTTGCTCCGTGTGTTTTCACTGAACACCGTGTATTTTCTAAACATGCGTGAAATAAGTACTGAGGCTTTCTGTGGACTGGGCACAGGAAAACGCCGCGCGACAGGTGGTGTTTAAGCTGTACAACACGTCCCGCAGGATTCACAGAACGCTGCTTTGTTAGAGAAACAGTGAGTTTGCCGGCTTTTCTTGGCGGAAAGAATTACATCTGAATTGCGAAGCGGAACATAATCAACAAAAAAACCTTTGACTCGTGCACAGCAGCCACACAAAGAACACGCAGCTGAACTTTAAACTTACTTACCTCTTGCGGATTGTGGGTTATTTCACTTTGGCAGAAGAAACTCCCACTGCTTCGTTTACTTGTTGAATGTGTGAGAGCATTATTGCTCCGTGTCGGCGTTACTTTCGGTTGTTACACGTTGTCAGTGTTACTTTTTCTCACTGTGTCGGCTGAAGAAAAAGATTCCATCCAGCTGTAGCTTCCCCCATGGTCCAAGCTCATCTGAGGAGCAGACTTTCCGTCTGAGTGTGAAAACGATCCGCAAGAAGAAACGAGTTCCGCTTTTGTTTTCAAAATAAAATACCTAACGCTCATGTCAAGAGATCCAAAGAGCGAAATTAAGTTCAATGATTTGTGCTGTTTCCAAAAGCCTTTCTTTACATGCTATATATAAAAAAATATATTAAAGAAAACGAAGGTTCCACTGAATAATAACAACTGTCCTGTTACTTAAAGTACACTTTGGAGTTTGGACAGATTAAATAACCAATGTTTGCAAATAAACGATGTTGTTCTTTACACTTTCGTGAGCAGTTACAATCACAGTAACAGTAGAGAATTTCAAAAACAAAAATAAGTGATGATAAGCTTTAACCCTATATTGAAATAACAAAACAATAAAGTTTCA